AAACTGTACTTTTGAGTTAAAATATATATTTATAATTTTAATAAATGACAAATTAAAAAGGCATGAACATTTTTTTTGTATCGAAAAAATATCGAACCGTGACACCAAAGTATCGAACCGAACCGTGAATTTTGTGTATCGTTGCACCCCTAATATATATATATATATATATATATTGTCCCACGAAGATGGAACGTCTTGGTTTGAATGGTCCGCATTTAACATCTCATGCTACCAGTGTGCTTTCTACATTTTATGTCCACAGAACAGACGATTTTAAAAGACTCTAGTTGTAGTTCTTTTTTATAGCCTTTACCTACTGAAAAAGATCAACAACTTCAGCAGAGACGGAGAAAAATGACAGAGGTATAGGTTTCCATAAACATGGAAGGTCTCTATGAAAGACAAATAGATTTAGTCAAGGTATTGTTATTATTATTTAGTTCTGAAAGCGCACACTTGGGTGTCTTTGTCATACATTTTAAAGACTTACAGCAGCCAGTCCATTTTATCAGAGTGCCTTAAAGTAACTAAATTTATGTAACAGTACATGCAGTCATTAGTCTTATTCTACTTGCATGCAGAAAAGTTTACTCATTTCAATCATTCCTGGCAAAATAATACACAGCTAGAATAAGTAAGAGAGAAACAAGTTTGTTTGTTTTATAAGGAGTTTCAGTATTCCCTGATGAAAAGGGCTATGGGGTATTAGAAGACTAAAGGTATAAGAGGAAGCAAGTTTAGTTTTTGGGGAAATTAAGCTTAATTAAATTTTATGCCAAGCCAAACAAGCTTTTTTTTTTTTTTTACTTCAGTGAAAAGGTTAAAAACAACAAGCATTGCACTGTTCATGGGTAACAAAATTACCCATCTCTAAAGGTCACATTAAGTTGTGGTCACGTACAGGAGTATTTTTAGCTGATACAGTGACTTTGAGGACTCTTGAAGTAGCAGTCTAAGTAACACCGAGTAATAACAAAATCTGTCCCACTGTTGAGCATTGGTAGATAGCTTTTGTTATGTTTAGTCAGAGCCAGGGTGGCTGCTTCAAGGTTTCCACTCTTTGTGCCAAACTAACTGCTAACTGTCAGACACGTTTTATGTAATCACACTTTCATGCTAGCTCAGAAGAAAAGGTTTTAATTCTCTGGAGGATCTTTAACACAGAGACAGTAAATACCACGGCTTACTATTTCTGGGAAATAGCTGATGATACTATTTTGTACCATGCAAAAGTCTTGAGCCAGTCCTTGTTTCTTTATGCTTTGCTAGGTAAACCTGGCAATAGGTGCAACGATTTACTGAAACAGGCAAATGTACATGTACATAAGGCAAAAATAGAGTTTGTACGATTCTAACAGGCTTGAAAGTCATTGTTTGATATGACACCTATATTTCTATACAGCCTGAACACAAGAGTTCTTTTAATTTTTTTAACTAGTCTACAGAAATAGTTCTTTAGTCTTCTCGAAGGACATTCTTATTTGGATGCTGTGTGTGTTGTAGACACTGTATATTGTATCTCCTCCAAAGCCACTGATGACGACTGGACCCAAAAATTTCAGATTTATATTTTTCACTCAATAAGAATTGTTGCGACTGATTTTCAGTTGTTCTTTTGATTTTGCATACAGCCTTTTCTCCCTTAACAGGGGCTTCTTGACAGCCACCCTTTCACTGAGACCATTTTTGATGAGGCTTCACTGAACATTAGACAGAGGCATCTTGCTCCTCTCCTATTTCCTTTGTTTTCCACTTTTGCAGTTTCCCCAGATTTTTTAAGGACACACAGCACACTAATGCTAATAATATTTGGGGAATTAGCTTGTTAGTGCCAAAATACTATTTTATCCCTCTCAAATGGTACAGGTCCCAAAGCTTTTGCAGTTCATCAACCCGACCATGTTCAAAAAGTGAACTTTTTTTTTTTTGCCTTTGCCATCCGAAGGTCATGACAGTGTGACTTGACAGAAAATGACAATGAATCAAGATTTTTGCACAGATTTGACCTTTTAATGGCATGTGGTGCTAAGCTCGATCAGCTGTTTCAGTTTTCAATAAATTGCATGCTCGAAAAAATGTTTTGTCTCACTCCCATTTCTTCTTAATGCATGTTCAAGGTCTACTTGGAACCTTGTTAAGATCCTACCATGCAAAATATGAGTTTTTGCCATTTTTCAAGTGGTCTTAAACTTTTGATTGGGACTTTATAATCGTTAGTATTTTAGAGATACTGATTCAACAAAAGAACTGGAAACAAATGATGTGTTTTTCTGCCTAAAGATATCATTTAAAATAAAATATTTGCTATTTTGTTTGGTGTGTGTAGACAAAATGCTTTATTATGTCGATTATGACTGATTCACAGGTCAGTATTAAGTTACCAAAAAAAATAAAATTCCTCTAAAAACGGTCGGCCTACGTTTATTACTCAACACTATTTAAAAAATTACAAGTCTGGCTCTTTGGAAGCAGAATATAAAGAAATGAGGGGGGAATCAAGACTTTTGCACAAGACCTTTTATGTGGCCAAAATGTAAGGATGTGGAGGCCAAATACACAAAAACATTTCACTTCCACATCCTTCCATTTTGATTTGTTCTGCTCACAATCATCTGACTTACGATGCTTTTTTTGCTTTTTGATCTGTTTGTCTTTCCAACTCCCACGGTCCCATCTCTCCTGTTAGGGAAAATTTGGGTGTTAATTGGACTGACGTGTTGAACCTTATTTCCTGCACATGACGTTTCTCGTGTACACACCAAAGACCAACAATTATGAAAAGGTTTACTGCCATCAGTAGAGTCAGAGTCAATCTCATCTCATGCTTATGCCCCCAGTAAATAGTCATAAAGCCAGAAATAGCACCGATCGAGCCTTGTCCTCCTCCTCTTGCTCATATAAATAAACATGCACGCATTTGTGCTCAATGATCTGTTCCATGGATGTGCACATTCACAGGCAATGCTCATTCTAACACATGCAGACCTGCACACAAAGGGCTCGTGTTTGTGTACATGCACTTTCTTCATAACTCATTCACACACGCGTTTCTCTTTTGCCCTGCCCTTGTTTATTTGACAAGCTACATCAGATCCCTGGCGGCCTAGGCTCCATTTAGATTTCCATTTATAGTGTTGAGGATGAATTATTAAAATCACCAGGAGATTTTTTAGCCTCTCTTTTGATAAAATTGAGGTCTGAATAGAAACTACAATGAGTGTAATAACTGCTACAATTCCCTGCTATTAAAACAAAAGCAATGAGCAGCTTACGTGAGGCAGAAAACCAGGTAATGAATGCATGGAGGGAGAGGCAGACAATGGGCAAACCAAATGCAGGTTTTGTGAAATGGAAATCAGGGGACTGACAGACACTTTTGAAAAGGCCAACCAAAGGCGACATGCATTTGATGAACACTTCTATCTGCAGGGGCATCATCAGAGAAGTCTTGAATAAATGTGCTGTGGTTTATAAAGGCTAACACTGCACCTTCAACTGTGACCTGATGGTCAAATGAGTCACTGCTGCACTTGTGGCTTGACAACACACCTATAACAATCCTTTTTCACGCTTCACTCTCAACCACAGCAGCTTTCTTCCTGCAAATTTCTTATTACACGCTCATGGTACTTGAAACATGGAAGGACACAGTGTCATGCACTACTGTCTTGCAGGCGGGAGTTAAAATGCATTTTTGTAGAATACATGTGTTATTTTCAAAGATAGAAGATTTATTATTTCTATTTGTACTTATTATCATACTATTTGTTTTCTTCTTTGTTCTTCTGTTGCTAGTATTATTGCCTTTGTCTTTTTTTCAGTATTCTACAAATACTTCTAGTTTAATTATAAGTTCTGGTGTAAACTCTATGAAATTTGTACAAGTGCACTTGAGGGAATAATGACCCTAACACAAATTTGAAACTGCCCACCCATCTCATGTCATTGTTGCAAAGCTACCAAATCAAGAAAATGGAGTGCAGTACATCATTAATAACAACAACGACAACTCAAACAAAACATTAAGTAGAATTTGAATTGCTCAGTTACAAAATATGGAGTGAAAATCTTAATCACGACACTTAAAAATAATGTGAACCTTAACACAAACTGCATTGCTTTGTTTAGAATATGGTTTTAAAAGCTCCTCGCCTGTGTAAAATTGCAAAAAGATAGCTTCTCATTAATATTAATGACTTAAACAGATGGCGCATGAGCTCGGTGTTTGCATAAAAACAAGGTTTGGATCGTTATGTGTTGGAGAGCCTGAACAAACGGCAGGCATCTCTCTCCTGTCTGCAGGTAAGCATGCAGTCTTTGCTTGCTGACAGTAAGTGCTGAGTCAGGCATACTCATCCCAGAGATACTCATCTCAGAGATCTTGTGGGAATAATATCATTCAGCCCTGCTCACTGCTGAAGGATAATACCCAAACACTACGAGGATTTGAATGCTTTCTAAAGAGTCTGACATGTTGAATTCCTAAACAATGGGCAGTATCTTTGAGCTTTCCAAAAACCTTGTCTGTGAAGACAATCTTTAATATATAATCTTAAAAGTATTAGTATACTTTTTCATATTTGTCATTTTTTTCAGCTATCTGGAAAATTTTACTGTGGTTTTGAATCAAAGATCAGTCTGACCCAACTCAACATTTTCTATATATGAAGGCTCCATTGATCCAGTCTTGTAATGGCCCTTTTCCATGTCACAATAAAGAAAAATTACTAATGGAAATGTTATCAGCTGTTAGAAGAGACCAAGCTAAAAATAACTAGCCTTTAAAAGATGATGTCGCAGCAAAAATGCAATAAAATCCATGCCTTGATTATTTTCCATTACAATACTGTAAAAAAACAGACTTGACTGTCAGTGTTTGTGAATGTAATTACTCTGTACTAAGGGATATGGATATAAAATAAAGTATAACATCACAAATTATGTATCAAGGTTTTAAAAGACAGGCAGACTTTAGAAGGAGATTGGACGATACCAACCTTAAGGGCAGGGACAGGCAGGGGCTTATTGTCCTTGTCCAGGGAGATGAAGGTGAAGAAAGCTGAGACAGCACGATATTTCCCCTTCTCTGCCTCCACCACTGAGGACGCGTCTACCAACACCTCAATCTCCATTGATTTGTTACTGACAAATGTGAGTCGTCCCGTCACCGTCACCACACACCCTTGGGAAGAAGAGGAAAAGGATATTGAGCACTCTGATTTTCAGTGTTTTAAAATAAAACCTAAATATGTTGCCATTTAGAGACATTTTCATTTTTTTGATCTTTACCATAACATTTTCTACTATTTCTCAGACATAGCAGTTATTTTAAGGCTTCACTTAGTCTTATAAAGGTGAAAAAAAGAAGTTGCACAAGGCATCAGGTTTTCACAAAAACACAGCATTCCAACCGCTACATCAAAAATACTGAATAATGTAAGTAAACTCATACTAAATAGCTTTAATTACACTGAATATGATCTATATAATAAACCAGCAGAGGAAGATTTCAGCTCTGGTCTTGCAGTCTCTATCACATTGTTGCATCATGGACTTTTCGAGACAGGCCGGCGACCTCTGGCTAAAAGCTCACGCTGAAGTAATATTGAAGCTGCACTTTCTCAGATATCTAATCAACCAACTGTCTTTCACTCAAAAATGTGCTCTCTACCTTTTGTCACTGCAGCGAGGTGGGAAAAAAAGTCATCAAATAATATTACAGAGCATTGTTGATGTATTTCATTATTCTCTTTGATGTGCCTGTACTGTAATATTACTGCAGTTGCCATAGAGACAAGGAAAGAAGGTGTTACTCCTGCAGTCAGGAACAGATCGCAAGTATATGAGTGAGATCTTATAAAATAGTCAAAGTCCTAAATAATAAATGATGCACATAAAAAAGGGGGGGAAAGGCTTTTATCAGTGTATGAGCTGCAAAGCACTCTGACACGATGACAACAATACAAGAATTCTATCAGAATTAGACTTGACTGTTGTTCAGTTACAGATCTCGTATTCATGCAGGATACTCTGCAAAATTCATGGGTATGAGTTCGGTTTTCTTGACAAGTAAGCCTCTGTTGTCAAAAGATATGCTTATAGAGTCAATAATTAGGCTTTTTGCAGTAAACCCAGGTTTGTTACCCTAACCCATCCATCCATCCACCCTCTTATCCAATTCAGGATCACAGGGGCCTGGAGCATATCCCAGCTGTGACAGGTTGAGAGGCCATGTACACCCTAGATAGGCTGTCAGGCTATCACTTGGCTGACACCAAGAGACAGACAAGCATTCACGCTCACATTCGAACCTAGGGCCAATTTAGAATAGCTAGTTACCCTAACATGAATGTCTTTGAAGTGTGAGAGGAGGCCCAGAGCGTGTGGAAAGAAAACACACACAGGAACAACGAGACTACATTTATAAAGCAGTTTTTAAGGCTTTAACAAACAAACTTTTTGTGTTTGTTTTGATTATGGTTTTCTGTGATGCAGCCTAGAACTGAAGTACTGAGGGTAAAAAGAAAAAAAATGGAGATGGCAAAGAAATGCAAAACTGCACACAGGTTCAGAGTAGGCACACATGAGAAAATAACACAGTCAAAGTTTATGCCATGCAAAAAATGTCCAAAATCTTAAATTACAAACAACAAGAATTCTAATGATATACGGAGCTTAGCAAATTGATTATCACCACCAAATACAAGGTTTAAGCCACAGCTGCCTTAAATTAACAGTATTATTAATTACCAAAATCACTTTTAAGTTTCTGTAATGTTTAATCCAACAATATGCACAAGGTCTTTAATCAAGTTGAGAAAATTCAACTTTCTAGATTTTTATATATGTTAAGATGACTATTACGCTATCATTATCACACATTCAGTAACCTTGGATGCTGAGATATTTAGGAAACGGCAACAAGGTGATCATGAAAATCCAGATGGGTAAAGAACTTTAAACAGATAATAACGTGCAGTAACTGCAGTGAGGTCTTTTCAGCATACCTGACAACCGAGACCACAAATTTAAAGCATTTCATTTCTCTCTTGTCGACTGACCTTTAGAGGATTTTTTTAATGCTCCCATGTGTCAAGTCTCATTTAAATAAACTATCTCTTACTAAGATTTATTAGGCTCAGTGAAACAACCTCTGCTCAGTGACATTACACAAAAATGAGGCTTGATGATGGGTGATTTTGAAGACCTTCAGATTAATGCAGAATGTAGCTCTTGACTTGTGCAGCATTGGAGGTCAGCCAACCAAAACAACTGGCAGAGTCCCATGTCTGAAGAGCTGATAAAGCTAATCTGCTTTGATGAAGGTACCCGGTCCATGTCCAGGCTCAGTGCTGTGTGCATGTAATGTAATACCACACAACAACAGATTTGTTATTTTAGCGGATGAAGATGGATGGATGGATGGAGTCTAGGCTTTTCTATTAGTCTTTTCACTGACTAACAAATAGCACTGAAGACAAAAACACATTTGAGTGTCTTTCCACGGGTCTTTTTTTTTTTCTTTAGCTAGACAGTACATGAAAATGTCGGGGTTTTTAACAAATAATGCTTTCAATGAAATGAAATGTACACTTAATAAACAAGAACAACATTGTGACCACTCACGATGACACACTGGTGCTTTTATTTTTTCTTCTGTATCACATTTTCACTCTCACCATCAGCGCTCCAGTCCCTGTCTCTGAAATGTCCTTTCATCCAACCTTTTGAAGTTTCATGCCTTTCTTCTCATTATTTGTATCTCTGGTTGTTTTGCTATAATGGATCACAGAAAAGACCCCTGCCTGAACCCTCCTATGGTACATTATTGACTAGTATATTATCACCAGTGCATCCTCATCAGTGCCTCAATATTTGAATTATTAAGTCTGCTTTTTTTTCTATAATTCTGGTGTTCTTTGTGTCTTCTGTGATTTTTCACAGGTGGACCTCTGAGGCAGTTCAAATCAGTTCTTATCTATGGTGCTTAAAGTGAAAAGTCCACCGTCCTCTCAGGTATCACAACTAGGTAAATTTTTGTAATTTTTCTACTGTATTACCACAATTAAAATTAAGCTATCCAGATGTCTGGCACTTAGTGACCAGGACCTTGTTTGTTCCTTTATATATTTATGTGGCAAAGGTTGAAATGCTAGCACCAAACAGTTGGGAGCAATTCAACTGTCAAAAGAAACAGTAGCAAGATGAAAATGCATAAAAATAAAATGACAAAATAAATCCAGAGGTAGAGACGACAAAGCTAGTGGCTGTTTTTTAGGATCCTTTTTGTTTTGATACTTATTTCCATTATTTCCCTAAACTTAACTTTTTTTTTTTGCCTGACCAGCTAGAGCAAAAATGAGAACTGTAGAAGTGACATAACCCCTAAGTCACAGTGGAGCCAGGGGAAATCATGTCAGCACTAACTGAACTGTGAGGACAGATGAAGGTAGCAAGTGGAGCAACTAGGGGCAGATGAAAGATGTGGTCATGGATCTCCACCACTCTGTGCTGTTCAGTTTTCTGGTCCTCACACCCCTGAAAGGAGGTTTTAAATGTTTTAAAGGTCCCAACTCCTTCACATCCTGCCACTCTGTCTGTATACTTCAAACTGTTGGAAAAACAGTGAACTGAGCAAATGTTGCTGCATGAAAGTTGTATTTAAAAGCACATATACTGCACAGCTGACCTTGTACACTTATGCTAAGCTGTAAAACTATTAATTACTCAATGGGGTTGCAGAGATGTAGCTGGTCTGTTGTTTTCAAATCATAACCTAACAATATGAACATTATGTTTAGTACATCAACAGATAACAGACACTAAAGATGCTCTTAGTAGCTCCCTTATTTCAGATGCATTTTTGATTTGCCACATGTTGATGCCAGATGCCCCCCCCCACCCCCTGAACTGAACTGAGGAGGTTGCAGTTATACTGTATTGTCAGACATGTATCATACGTATGTCTGTTATGTGTGCCTTTTTTAGGAGACTATGTTCCTGCCTTTTTAGAATTGCTTTTATTATGACTGTCCCTGAAGGACTTTGGATAAGCGAGCCAGGAAGTCCTGGCAATAAATTCTGCACTCCAGTGTTCGACTGGACACATTTTCCAACTGAAATATCAAAGGCTACATGGATAAAGGTATTTAGAGGCTTAGAATTTGTTCATCTGAACCTTTCAGACTGTGAGGCGCTTACAGCAAATACAGTATAAATAGACAAAGTTTGGTAATGGAAAATAGTTAGGTCATTATTAACAGTGGTGTGTGTTTCCAGATGTAGTGGCAGCTCTACAAAACACAGTTGGCCTTGGATAGCAACCGTGTGACAGCTGTTAACGTTGGCTTAGTTGATTTAAAACAGCACCGCCAGAGGCTAAATTGAAAAACGCTTTAGAGTTTCCATTTTATCATCTCTGGTCAAAAGGCGAGAAAACGTTTTGCAGCATTCCTCTTGGTAAAGCAAATGGACAAGACAAAAAAAAAGCAATAATTACACAGAAATATCTCCCTGCATCTCTGGATATTTGTAAGTATCAGAGATTTAAAAGTATGAGTGTATTCTCTGTGTTATCCTCACCTTTCTTGATCTTGCGATGGAAATTGATGGCATCCACTGAGGCAGTGACAATATTGGTATTGCAGTGACGAGCTGCCACAATGCCAGCGACCTCATCCATCAGCTTCATGGTCACACCTGTGTCAAACACACACACTTTTAATTTATTGCATGCAGTCCAGCCAAAAAAGAAGCTGCGTAGATAACCCTTTTGCACCACCCTAATCGAATTTTCTTACTCCACTGTGGCTCTCTTGAACAATAAGACACTAATGACACCACCCGTCCATCAGTTCTGTAGCGATGCTACATGTGAATATTAGCTAATGTGCTCCACTCTCTGCTCAAGCTACAAAATAGCTTTGTTGTTTGTGAGTAATAAAAATACATTTTCAGGGTCAAGAATGAAGCAAAACTGACCAACATGTGATTGTGAGCCTGTACAACCTGTAGCATCCAGCACTCTTTTCATCCCCAGTGAAACTTGACACTCGCTTGTCTTTAAATCGACAAAAGCTTTTAAAAGAAAATGTAGTCATCAAGCTGCAGCCAAGTTCGAGACACGGTTTCACTGAGAAGAGATTATTGGATGTGGAAGCTAATGGGATTCCTAATGCAATTAGAAAACTATCCACCTAAAGTTAAATGCCAAATAATGAACAAGTCTGCTTGCCATTTTCTCAACATTACCTTTTCTTTCAGACGCATTAGTCTAATGTGTATGAGCTGACTGTCTACCAGAAGTGTTTCCAGCCAGCTCACTGTAAGCTGAAAGATGTCATCAGGGCTCAATTAAATAAAAGCCATTATTAATTTTTACGTTTCCCCCATGTTTGGTAATTCTTCAAATTACAGCTTGTTTATCCACTGTAAACAACATATAATGAAAAGGCAAATTGAAAAAACACTTACTGACACTACACGGGTCATTTGTCTGCACCATTAAAACAGGATAAATTATATTACATTTTTATTTACATTTTAAATTAAAACAGGACAGAGTAACATTACCAAAACCTATTTTTTTTTATGTTAAATCTAAGTAACAATATTTTCTCAAATTAGTACATACAAATAGTTTACAGGCAGTAATTGTGCCATTTTTCCTTCATTGCAATGTTTGACAATGACCACTGGTCCTGCACTGCTTTTTCTGAGGCACAGTGTGAGTCTAATAAAACAGGTATAGTAAAACTCACTACTGTATATATTCAGACAAACTGGCAAACTGTTTATACAGCCCTGCACATAATGAGTGTCCTAAGAAGCCTGAAGAGATTGAAGAGTGTAAAATTATTATTCCTGCACAAAACATCTGAACCGGTGTTGGCCAGGCAAGAAGCACAAAGTTAGGAAAAATTGCCGTCTGGCTAAGATCTAATTTCCAGTAAAACTGCAACGCGTCGTTGTTACTGTTACAGATCAAATAAACATTAATTAGTGAGCTACAGTCACGCTTCAGGCAGAGCCAGTAAGCCCTGCGTGTTTGAAACGCATACAGAGATAAATGTTTGTGTTTGCTGTGCGCAGTCAATGTGTTTAGCCCAATCTTGGTAAAAACAGGGTGCTTGTAAGTATCTGGAACACAACCTGCACAAAGACAAAGAGCTGTTTCTCAAGAAAATGAAAACATGTGGTCGTAATACATGTGAAGAAGACTTGGATTGATTGTTTGCCGCAGTTTGTTATTACAGTCGTTATCAATGACTGGGTACTCAGTCTCAGCCCTGCAGCTATTCCAAAGTGCAACAGTGAAGTCTGTTCTCTGTGAGAGATGAAACAACAAAAGCTCAATAGCCTCCTTTTAAAGTCAACAGGAAGGTGTGCATTTGATTAAGATGTAGACAGATTTAGTGAAAAGTATCACATTTCAAACAATTCAACAACAAAAAAGTTTACAGACCACCTTTTCACTCGCAAATAAATCTTGGAAATAGTCTGATGTGCAAGAAAACAGTTTGAAATCAAAGTTTAGAGATTACACGAAAGCTTTGCCATTTATACAACACGCAACTTGGCAACTTGTGTCAAATGCAAAGGAAGCAGTTGTTAGTTGAGTTCTCGCAGAAAGCAAGTGTGTGGCTTAAAATGAACAGAAAAAAATAAAGAGGATGGCGTCTGCTTGTCTGTTCTGTTAAAGAGTGTGTGCACTCTGTGAAAGAGTGTGTGCACTCTTTCACATGTGCTTTTGTGCACCTACGCTCATTTGAAGACAGACGTACCCTCCGCTAGACACTCCGGTTGCCTCAGTCGTTCCCTCTGAGCTGCTTTTTGTATAGCTTGTGTTACAGCAAATCAATAAGTGTGCTTTCTGATTGCTGATTTGGCTCCCGAGGGTTCATACCATCTGCACTGTGTAGCTCTGTTTGTGACAGCCAAATGTGTGGGAGTACAAACAGAATGTACCGCTTCTCCAAAATGCAGCATTCACTGTAAAAAGTGGGCCCACTGAGTTGATTAAGAACTAAACACGCTATTACTGAGACATGCTCTTACCCCAAATCATGTTCAGAGAATAATGGTCATTTTATTTACCGTCCCAGTGTCTGCAAAATGACACTGTCCAGCTAAGTAGAACCATTACAGACTGTACTAGTTCATGACTTTCCAACAGGACGTTTTAAAATAGAAAATGGATTAGCGCTGACTCTGATGTGTGATTATTTAGTTCAACTCAAACCCAAAACAAAAAACGGCTGATTGATTAAGTATATTTGTCAAAAGTGCTCTCTGATTGAGGCTGATGATATGACTACATTTAAGGAAATGCTGTTGCCACACATAAATGGGACAATAGCATGTTAAGCTAAAATGTGTTTGGGCAAACAAAATTATGTCCTTAAATCTGTTGCAAAGTTGTTTTTAATTGGGGTTTTCTTTTTTTAAAGCAACTTTTTTTTTTATCTTGTTTTGTGTTTTGCTTTGTTTTTGTTTTTTTCATTTCTGCTATGTTGTGAAAATTGATGGGATCTCACCTAAGATTGAAAATTTCCCCTGGGTACAAGGCACAGCAGGCTACTACAATTCAAAGCCTGTAGCTGTCGTGTCTGAGCATGTAACACTTAATGGAGATGGATCCTGACCTGAATAAGATGATAAAATTGAAAGTAAATGCCGCATTACATCAAAGTGGTAAACTTCCCGACTTTAGTTTGTTAAGATGCCCCTCTAACTGAAAGTTCCTCTCACCTCATTCCATTTTATCTACCAACAAATTTAATCATTACCTTATAAAAAAAAAATTCAAAAAGGGAGAATTTTTCATAGTACTGTTTGCATGCAAAATAGGTCACATAATCACCCGGCTCTGCGGTTTTACTCCATCCTAACATTTATAACAACTTCTAGCTGTTGTTTTGGATTTCAGCTGCATTTATTTTCTCCGTCTCACAGCTCTGATCGATGTTTTTAAACAGAGGAAGCAGCTGTTTTCAGGAAAAATCCCCCACCCAGGACTAGACTACATGCGAAGTTAGTAACCGGCTCATTAACAGAGTAAAGCATTTAACAGCAAAAGGCCAGATATTTCACTGTTACAGAATCTGATCTGAAATATCAGTTTCTGTAAGTAGATATTAAAGATTCTACACATAGTAAGTAAACAGCTGTCCTTCCCTTTGCTACATTATGTGTTTTATCATTTAGGATTTTAGGAAGACTTTTTATTTAAAGGTCATTTCAGTTTTTGAATGATGAGCTTCTTAGTTATAATAATATTGATATTTGGCTTAGCAAAATCTTGCTTCCCTGACATAAACTGATAACCATCCAGGCATCGGGCTGTTTTTCAGCTGTTAATGAACTGCAACATTTTATGTAAATCTTTTCCACTAAAGTTAAGGCATTTGGTAGTGAAAAGATAATTTATTGTATTATACATAAATCATACACTCAGATTTGTTACAAAGTTATTACAATTGAAGCTGAAATCTGAGAGTAGAATTTAAGGCAGCAATCTAACTGAGCCAGATAAGCAGTAAGTAGATAGTGCAGCTCCATTTTCTATATTAATGTCTTGTTTGTCGTCATTTCAAACAACAAAGTATCTGAGTCGGAAGCAGCCATGCGTCAACAGATAAACCCAGAGACTTCTGGCGGCTAAGAATAACTACAAGCACTTTTTCGCTAAAAGTTTAATGACCTTGCTGAGAGGCAATTATGAAGAATCGTCAACATTATCTACATTTTTAAAATTCATTAAGTTTACGTTTGTTTTTTTCCACAACATATGCTTGTCAAATTACAGGAAAATGCTTTAGCACTTCCCAGACTAGTTCATTAGCATTACTCATCAGCAGCAGTAAAGTTATAGGCTGTATTTACTTCAGAGCGCTGCTATTAAATTAAGTTGTTGTTGGGGAAAAGCAGTGCGTGCCAGTGTGTATAAAGAACATGGGGGACGCTAGGACCCCAGTTGTTTTATTAAAAAGCTGACCAGAGCTACAAAAAAACCAAAAGATTTTGTTACGTGGACAGGACATGATGGATAGAATAGAATAGAATAGAATAGAAAGCATTAAATACAGAAAACATTAAATATATAATAAAAACATGTTTTATACACATAAAATCAATAAGATATAACTTCTTTCATATAGCCCTTTACTTTTCATCTGCATCCTACTACATGCCACGTGTCGCCTATTTAAAGTGCTTACTTACTGTGTATAGTTCCTTATTAATCCAACATTTAAGCACATAAGCGGCTGTGTAACATGTGCACGAAATATGCAACTTTTAGTGTACATGAACTACATGAAAACGTACATAGGAGGAACATCATGGACAATGCATTATTGACACTTAAAGGTTCACTTCTGTCTGGCAGACATTTTTTGTACTAATTGAAATAAATTTTAAAAGCTAATTTTAAAAAAGCTAAACTGCAATTTTGGTAAATGCAGTGTCTTATTTACTGTCCACAGAAGAGACAACAGTCAAAATCAGGTAACTGCTGACAACTCATTTTAGCTGCACATATTCCACATTTCTTGAACCCAAATAAATGCTTGCATATCATTTATTTCTTCCAAGATCAGCTTGGATTCCCAAACTACCAAGTGCAACAAAACCCTATGACTACAATGTTGTGCCACATCAAGTTAAAGACTGCACTGTCCTTGGGGACCAAAGATGCT